CCGGCCCTGGTTGGTCGTGTGGGTGGCAGCCACTCGATGTGTCCCTTCACGTTGATATTTCTCTCTCTCTCTCCCTCCCACTCTATCTGTACAAAAAAATGGAAAAATATCCTCTGGTGAGGATTAAAAAAAAAAAAAAGAGGGATCTTGCAACCATGACTGTATTTTTGGGATGTCACAGGGAATGAAACTTAATTGCGTACTGATCACCATTTTTTTTTTTTTTTTTTTTTTTTTATCCTCACCCGAGGATATTTTTCCATTTTTTTGTACAGATAGAGTGGGAGGGAGAGAGAGGAAGGGAGAGAGAGAAACATCGACGTGAAGGGACACATCGAGTGGCTGCCACCCGCACGACCAACCAGGGCCGGGGACAAACTGCAACCGAAGTACGTGCCCTTAGCGGGAACCGAACCCGGGTCTCTCCGGACCGCAGGCCGACGCTCTAACCACTGAGCCAAACTGGCCAGGGCGTGATCACCATTTTTTAAACAACCTCTGTACTTTTATTAACAATGCCACTATGGATTGCCTCTTTTCCCATTTCCATTTGTCCAGGTCCTGTTGATCTCTTCTTGCCTGTCTCAAAAGGTTGGCCAAAGTGACACAGGCTACTTGCTTGGTAAATTGTAGAGTCTTAGTTCAAATTCCAAGTATTTCAAGAAGCCTTTCTGGATCCACTTGCCATCACATATACTCTTAGTAATGAGAACTTCCCCCTTTCCACTCTCATCTCAGTATTTGTATCCTGGAAGGATTTGGAACCCATTTACCAGTATAATAGGCATGTGTAAGATTTCCTCTTTTACACTCTACTATCAACTTTTGGAGGATAGCAACCAAAACTTACCTATTTTTATAGCATTGACAATATTGGTGTCCAATACATATTTTGCCATCATACAGAAAGAGCATCGGGCCAACTCTCTGAGTTCCAGGTAGCTTCCCAATATAGCCTCAGGTGAGAAAAGTATATGCTCATTATTATAGTCAGATGTAGAGAAATGAACTTCTGAGGCTGCCTGACTTGCAACAGAAGTTTCTTCCAGTCCACATCTCTGGTAAAGTCAAACCCTACCACCTTATTCTGAAAACTGGTACCTGACCACAAATGGCACAGGATTCAAACTGGGGCAATCTCATAATCTCACCATCTACTTGAATTGCCTAGAATGGGCTTGTTACTCAGTTGCTGATGGAATCACCATGCAAATCTAGATTCCTTGACTCCAGGCACGGTGCTCCAAATATAGCACTTGCAGGTTCTGCATTCCTGTGTATTCCAGGATATCTGGATGCTAATGTGGGCTGGGTGGAGACAAGGCTTCCTTTCTTGGAACACAGGGTTTGGAAATAGGTAGTGGGCAATGCCTGTGGCCTAAGGAACTGCAAGCTCTCTCAAACAATGTTTTTGCAAATTGTGTAGTAGTTGAAGTCAGAGTATAGACTAGGGGTTGTTTGCAGGTTCAGCACAGTGAGTCTAGCTATTTCATAAAGTGTAAGTCTTTTGCTGAGGACATTGTCCATCAGGAGGAGCCACCTGGATCTATAGTGTCATGTTTCTCCTGGGCTGGCTGTTGGCCTCTTCATGATGGAAGCAAGACAACTTAGAATTTTTAGATAACCTCTCCTCTGAGCACCTTGAAACATAACTCTATGGTGGCATGTACCATGTTGTATGGCAGTCTGTGCTGCACTAGACTGTTTCCTTTATAGACTGTGGTGATGTTGTCTTTGAATCTCTAGTACCAGGCACAGGGACTGGAACTTAGAAGATGCTCAGTTATTATTTATAGAAAGAACAGGAGAATGACTGAGTGACTTTGCTACTACAAGTGTATAGGTTCAGTGAAAGGTCTCTAAAATGGCAATTATAAAAAAGGATACATTTGTAATATAAACATTATACCTTTACCTCAAATTTATTCATCAAAAAAAGAGATGAAAGAACTTTGCTTTGAGTATATGTTAGCAAATAGAATTGTACTCTGTCTTGTTTGCAGAAAGCCCATCTATTAAGCATTATCTATAATTTGCAGTTTACATGTATTAAGTGGAGATCTTAACATCATAAGTATTGCATTCTGCGTGAAGATGTTTGTCAACACTGTAAAATATTTTCAATCTAGAATACTTGTCAGACTTATGCCTATTTCAGTAACTATATTTCTGATTGATACTTTATTGACCTTTTTAGCATTTATATTACTTTTCATAGGAACTATAATTCTTCTTTCATAATCATATTTCATTAATTTACATTGTACTTTGATAAATTAGTTAAGTACATGAATAAGTCCAACTGGCATAAGCAGTATTGGAAACAGACCCTAATGGGTCTTGTGTAGCTGATAACTCAACGCTCTAAGGTCCACATGTACTAGAGAATCAGTGAACAACCCTAAGGGCTCAACATTTATTGGACATCAACCAATATATTTTCTAGATGGAATGGATAGGGTTGGTTAAACAGAGTCTACTGACCAGAGATGTATTTAAAAAGTTTTTGCACTATATAGAAATAGTATAGTGCTTGGTCACATAGGTTTTTGTGATGTTTGTTGAAATAACACATAACCAATTGTGGATGACAGCTCCCAAAAGGTGCCATGAGGGTCTTTGATATCTTTTCTCTCTTCCCGAAGGAAAATCCTGGATGTCCTACATGATCCACCCAGGATGAAGTTACAGGAAACTCCTCACTGGCTTTGGAAAGGAAGCAGCGCATTAGCAGACTCTTTCCTTCCCTCCATTCTTCTCCATGGAGGCAGCAGGCAGACCTGCAATGAAAGGGAAGTGACTTCCTCCTATTGACTAATTCCAGAGAACACTTTCTGTTCTCTTGAGTGGGAGATGCCTGCAGAAGCTTCAGTGAGACCTGCTTTTTTTCCAAAAGCGGGACAACACCATGATTTTCAGGCAGGAGCTATTTGAGAAAAATTGTTACTTAGCATCTTCTAAATTGCAGATCAAGACCATCACTGGGGTTTCGAAGACATGGTATCTGTTCTTGAAGACTTCATAGTATGGTGGAAGAGGGGGACATACAAACCAGACATTACAGCATGATGTTATAAGTGTTCTATAGAGGAATGTTGGGGCCCAGTGAGTGGGCTGCAGTGGCTGGGCGTGAGCATCCAGGAGCTCCAAGTTTTCTTTCACCCAACACAAAGAGGAATGCCACTGACATCAACAACCAGTTGCCTAAGTTAAACTCAACAGTCTTTGGTTCAAAAATGAGATGAAATTTTCCTGCAGGGTTCCTCAAAGCTTCACAAATGAAAGAATCATAAGATTCACAGGGCTGAATCTCAGAAGAAACCTCAGTCTAAGTTGGTGGCATCATATCAAAGCACCCTGCTTGGAGCACAGGTTACATGCACGGTCTTCCTGCTTTCTTCTACCACCCTGCAATCCAGCCAAGAAAGCCCTTACCTACAGCCAAGCCCTACTACAGCATAGGAAACAAAGGGCTGCATGTAGGATTCAGAATCAGTTAAGTGATAAACTGGGAAGAGAACTGGATCAAGTGTCTGGCAACCTAATTCTGATGGATATATTTGGTTCAAAATCTTGAAAACTGTAGTTGGTATCATTTTCACAGCTACCCATAGTGTCTCCTGAGCTCTCCACATTCATTTGTGAGTTCCCCTCTCTTAGTGTACATACGTGGGGCAGCCTCACTCTCTGTGAAGAGTAGACATCCCTCTGTGCTGTCACATTTACATAGTGGACCCTCTCCATCTGCCTGAGTTCTCTGAGGAATGAGTAACCAGTGTCAGAGAATAGTCCAGAGTTTTGTAATGAACCTCAGTTTCTATCAATATACTGACATGTCTATGGAAAGTTCAGATGTTTTCAACCCTGCTCTTCATGGGGACCGGCCTAAAAGTCACAGCCAGGACAACCAGCACAATCAAGGCTTGCAGAGTATTCCAAAAACTGTTATCTGTATGCTACTAATAAATGGTTTCTAAGATAATTTCTATTTTAAAATTGACACTGAGATTGCAATGGCCAAATTGCAACTAGACTCTACATACACTGGTTAAGGTGAGAGCTATAACCACTCATCATTTCTCAAAGGTAATGGCCATTGTTTCCTTTACTACAACCCAAGACCAACCTGTCACTATGCTGTGGACAAATGGCATCAGAAGCTTTTCATAAGCTTAATTTCCTGGATTGTTCTTAAGCACATAGAGACTCTCTCTAAGGATATCATTTCTCCCAAACCCAGAGAATCCAATGAGATGAGAGGTAGGCCAACTCATTTATTAAACTTTTTACCTGTAGAATGCCTCTAATCATAGGACTAAACGTGAATGCTAAGGGACTATAGTCTGAGAGAAAAATAAACAATTTTCTTTTTCTATCTGATAAGGTATAAAACAATTCTGAACAAAAGTATATGGTTTTGGACAGGAATTTTTTTCTGTTGCAATGAAAATTGTAAAGAAAAAGCAATCAATAAAGAAATTCAAAGGGAGATTACATGAGAAATTTATTGGTAATGTCAATAAAGATGGAGAGGTATAATGCTTTCTCTGAGAAAAACTAGAAAAGCCAGATTAAAAACAACCTCTTTGGCCCTGGCTGGTTTGACTTAGTGGTTACAGCATTGGCCCATGGACTGAAGGGCTGTGGATTTGATTCCTGACCAATGGCATGTACATGGGTTGCAGGTTTGATCTCTGGCCCCAGTCAGGGTCATGTTGATGCTGACCCTGTTGATGTGTCTCCCTCACATCGATGTTTCTCTCTCTCTCTATCTTTTCCATTCTATCTAAAAAATATCAATGGAAAAATATACCTGGGTGAGGATTAACGACAACAACAACAACAACAACAAACCCATCCTATTTGAAGACATTGTGAAATCACTGAAGTATACTGAGGATGAGGCCAAGAGAAAACCAGATAATTTCCAAATTTCCAAGACTGGCAGGGCAGCACTGAGTCTCAAAGTCACTCTGATTGACCAGGGCAGAGACTCTTCATCACTGTCCCACTCTGCTTCCTGACGTCTCCAGGGTTCCCTGAAGAAGGCTTTCTCCATGTTCCTCCACCTCAGGAGTGTCCTGCAGAGCCCTCTGCAGAACTAGCCTCAGGGTCTGTCTCCCCTTCCACCATCGCTGCCTAAAGGAACCAACAAAGTAGTAAATGACGGGGTTGGCATAGCTGTTGACACAGGACAGGGGAACTGCAATCAGGTAAAGATGAAAGATGGCATTGTAACTTTTTTGTAACCAGATTAAGAGGGACCAGCAGATGCCGAAGGGCAGGCCACAGAAGAGGAAAACCAGCACTGTGAGCAGGAGGGTCACATACAGCCTGGTAACTTGCACTCACTGGGAGCCACACAGCAGTCTGGTCATCAGGGTCAGGCTGGACCCAGAGGCAAGCACAAATAACAAAATCAGCCATGTGATAGTGATGTAATCAGATACCCAAATCATGAGGGTGTGAAAAATTCATCATGAAGATAGAGACACTTTTATCCAGGATGCTCAGCAGCAGGGACATGGCCTAGAGCTGGGCACACATGATGGCTAATGTGTGTCTGGGGCGGCGGCAGCGGTACCAGATGGGCCTCAGGACTGACAGGCAGCGCTCTGTGCTAATGGCGCTGAGAAGGCTCAGGCCTGAGATGTAGGCAAAGACTGACACAGTGAAGACAATGTTGCAGATGTTAATGGTGTTGGAATAGAAGTGGAGGAGTGTACACAGGGAATGCATAATCTCACAGCCGAGTAAGAGGAAGTCAGCTCCTGCTGGTTTGAGGATGTGGATGGAGAAGGCTTTCATCTGCATGTGGAAGCCCAGGAGCCAGAGCACCACCATGTTTCCTGCCAGCCCAGCCAGGGCAATGATGAGTATCAGTAATTCCAGGATTAGGATCTCTGTATCACGTTTGTGAAGGGACTGGTCACTTCCATTCATTGGTGTGAGTCTGGTCCCCCAGGCTGTGACATTTGTATCTGTGCTCAGACACTCTCCAGCTGTGTGCCAGGAAACAAAACAAGACTTGAGCACCTTCTGTACGGTCACTGACTCTCATGGCCACCCTGTATGTGGAAATTACTGTTGCATTTTCCAGAAAAGGAAAATGGAGGGTTACAGAGATTAAGATTCTTCCTGAAGAGGAGGAGCCAGCATGGCGGTAAGCAGGACTAGGGTGAGGGTGAGAGTGCAAGTGTGTGAGTGTGTGTGAGAGTGTGCATGTTAGTGTGGGTGGGCATCTGCCTGTCAGTGAGGAAATGGAGGGCAGTCTGTTAGTGTGCTCTGGGCAGGGGAGCTGTTGGCCACTGCAGTGTGTTCCCCAGCCGAGTGCTTCCCCTACTTGGGTTTGGAGAGTGCACAATTTTGGAGGATCTGCAGAGTCCTCCTTAGGAGGAGGCTTCAGGGAATGGCAGAGATCCTGTACCCAGAGGACATACCCAGGCCCCTCTGCCTCTGCAGCCATAGCTGCGAGCCTGCAGTCCTGCCATCGGCCGAGGGCTGCCGCCCCCATGTGTCCCACCAGCAGCAGAGGGCCACAGCCTCTGTGGGCCCTGTTGCAGCCACGAGGTGTTGGCACTGCAGGCTTCGCCTCAGTAGAGATCCACCGGCCCCACTGCTGCTGCTGCTGGACTCGCTGCCGCCACCATGGTCACCAAGAATACGGAGACATGCTACAGCAGTCACTGGGCCCAATGGGAGCTGCTGACCCTGCTGCAAACTGCTGGCCCAGCTGCCACAGCCCCTGAGAGCTGCTGGCCCTGTTGATGCCACACCCTGCCAGCTGCTGAGAGCTGCCAGTATTCCTGGACAACTGAACTGGGTCTGAGATCCAGAGCACATGACCTGCCATGACCCAATGTCCCTGGATGCACCAACCTGCTCCTGTGACCCAGCCTACTTCATGCAGCCCTGGACCACCAGACCACTGAAATCTTGAGACAAAGAAACAATCCACAAATGAAAGAAAAGGAGGAATTTCCAGAAAAGGAACTAAACAAAATGGAGGCAAGCAATTTGTCAGATAAATAATTCAAACTAATGGTTATAAGGGTGCTCAAACAGGTTAATGAGAAGTACAAGCAACTAAATGAGAACTATAAGGAACTCAGTGGGAACTTCAGCAGCATGAAAAAAAAAAAGAGGTAGAAATCATGGATAAGAATCAAGAGGATCTGAAGAATGATATAACTGAAATAAAAAAATATCCTGGAAAGAATCAACAGTAGATTAGAAAAAGCAGAGGACTGAATCAGCAAATTAGAATACAAGGTGGAAAGAAATACCCAATCAAAGTAGCAACTGGAAAAAAAAATTAAAAAGCAGGAGGATAGTTTAAAGGAGCTTTGGGACAACATGATAAATAACAATGTCATAGGGGTACCAGAAGGAGAAGAATCTGAGCAAGGAATAGCAAACTTGTTTCAAGAAATAATGACAGAAAACCTCCCTAACCTGGTGAAGAAAATAGTCACACAAGTCCAGGAAATACAGAGGGTCCCAATCAAGATGAACCCCCAAAGACCCATGCCTAGACACATTATAATTAAAATGGCAAATTTAAATATATAGAATGGGCCTGGTCAGTGTGGTTCAGTGGATTGAGCATTGTCCCATGGACTGAGAGGTCCTGGTTCAATTTCCAGTCAGGGTACATGCCCAGGTTGCAGTCTTGATCCCCAGAAGGGGGCAGGCAAGAGGCAGCCAATCAATGCTTCTCTCACACTGATGTTTCTATCTTTCTCTCCATCCCCCTCTCTCTAAAAAATCAATAAAAACATAAAAAAAAAATAGATAAGGATAAAGAAAGAATGTTAAAGGCAACAAGAGAAAGACAGAAAGTTACCTACAAGGGAGCTCCCATTAGGCTGACAGCTGATTTCTCAATAGAAACATTTCAGGCCAGTAATGAAAAGCAAGGGACTGAATCCAAGACTGTATCCAGCAATGCTATCACTCAAAATTGAAGGTGAAATAAAAAGTTTTCCCAACAAAAAAAAAGGCTAAATGAGTTTATTACCATCAAACCAGCAATGCAACAAATGCTTAAGAAACTGTTGTTAGAAGAAGTAATAGATAGATGATAGATAAATAGATAGATAAAGGAACACAGGCATAAAGAACAAAAATGGCAACAAACAAGTACCTGTCAAAAACAACCTTAAATGTAAATGGCTTGAATGCTCCAATCAAAAGACAAAGGGTAGCTGAATGGATAAGAAAACATGACATATATATATGCTGTCCACAAGAGACCTACCTCAGAACAAGACTCACACAGGATGAAAATAAAGGGATGAAAAAAAATTTTCTATGCAAATTGAGATGAAAAAAAAAAAAAAAAAGCAGAAGCAACAATACTCATATCTGAAAAAATAGACTTCAAAATGAAGGCCATAACAAGAGACAATGAAGGCCACATCATAATATTAAAGGGATTGGTATAATGAAGAGGATATAACCCTGATAAACATATATACGCCTAAGGTAGGAGCATCCAAATATATAAAAGTACTTCTGGAGGACTTTAAGGGAGAGATTGACAGCATACAATCATAGTTGGGGACTTCAACACCCCACTGACAACATAGATCTTCCAGACAAAAAACAACAACAAGGAAACAGCAATCCTAAATGACACTAGATCAAATGGATTTAATTGACATGTTCAGAACATTTCACCCCAAAGCTGCAGCATCTATGTTCTTCTCAAGGGCACATAATATATTCATAAAGATAGACCACATGTTAGGACACAAACTAAGTCTCCACAAGTTCAAGAAGACTGAAATTATATCAAATATCTTCTTGGATCACAATGTCATGAAACTAGAAATCAACTACAATAAAAACATGCAAAAATATTCAAACACATGGAGACTAAATAGCATGTTCTTAATCAATGAGATCAAAGAAAAAAATGAAAAAATTCCTGGAAACTAATGAAAATGAACACACAACAACCCAAAATCTATGTGACACAGCAAAAGCAGTCCTGAGAGGAAAGTTCATAGCACTACAGGCCTACTTCAAGACACAAGGCACATTTCTAATGAACTATCTAACCCTACAACCTAAAGAGTTAGAAAGAGAACAGCAAGAGAAGCCCAGAGTAACTAGAAGAAAAATAATAAAGATCAGATAAAAAATAAATGATATAGAGACTAAAAAAACAGTATCAAAAGATAAATGAAACCAAGAGCTGGTTCTTTGAAAAGACAAAAAGGACTGATAAACCATTAGCCTAATTCATTAAGAAACAAAGAGAGAAGACCAAAATAAATAAAATCAGAAACGAAAGAAAATAAAATCAACCAACACTACAGAAATACAAAAGATTGTAAGTAAATACTATGAACAACTGTATGCTAACAAATTGGACACCCTTTATGAAATGGACAGATTCCTAGAAACATACAAACTTCTAAAACTCAGCAAGGAAGATTCAGAAAACCTGTACAGGCCAAAAACAACAAATGAAATTGAAGCAGTAATCAATAAACTACTAGCTAACAAAAGCCCTGGTCTGGATGGTTTTATAGGAGAGTTTTACCAAACATTCAAAAAAGAACTAACACCTATACTCCTCAAACTATTCCAAAAAATTCTGGAGGAAGGAAGACTCCCAAGCTCATTATGAAGCCAGCATTATCCTAATTCCAAAACCAGAAAAAGACACTACAAAGAAGGAGAATTACAGGCCAATATCTCTAATGAACATAGATGCTGAAATCTTTAACAAAACATTAGCCAACCTGATCCAGCAATATATTAAAAAGATCATACACCATGACCAAGTGGGATTTATTCCAAGGATTCAAGGCTGGTACAATATTTGCAAATCAATAAATGTAATATATCACATAAACAATTTGAAAGATAAAAATCCCATGATCATATCAATAGATATGGAAAAAACATTCAATAAAATCCAACACCCATTTTTGATAAAAACTCTCAGCAAAGTGGGAATAGAAAGATCATGCTTCAACATAATAAAAGACATGTATGACAAATGTACAGCCAACATCATATTTAATAGGTAAAAAACTAAAAGCATTTCCCCTAAGAATAAGAACAAGACAGGGATGCCAGCTTTCACCACTTTTATTCAACATAGTACTGGAAGTTCTAGCCACAGCAATCAGGCAAGAAGAAAAAAAAAAGGCATCCAAATTGGAAAGGAGGAAGTAAAACTGTCATTATTCACAAATAACATGATATTGTACATAGAAAATCCTAAAGACTCCACCAAAAAACCACTAAATTTAATAAATGAATTTGGCAGTGTAGCAGGATACAAAATTAACACCTAGAAATTGATGGCATTTTTATACATCAGAAAGAGAAACTAAAAAACAATCCCACTTACCATTGCAACAAAAAATTAAGATACTTAATAATGAACTTAACAAAGAAGGTAAAAGACCCACCTCCCCCTTCTGTTTGAGGTTCATCAGTCTAACAAGCAATTTGTACTTCCTAATCCCTTCATCTTTTTCACCCAACTCTCCTCCCATTTGGCAAGCAACAAAAAGTTCTCTGTATCTATGAGTCTGTTTCTGTTCTGCTTGTTCATTTTGTTTGTAGATTCATTGTTGATAGATATGTATTTATTGCCATTTTATTGTTCATATTTTTTTATCTTCTTCATGAAGACCCATCAACATTTCATGTAATACTGGTTTGGTGGTGATGAGCTCCTTCAGCATTTTCTTGTCTGGGAAACTCTTTATATGGCCATCAATTCTAAATGAAAGCTTTGTAGGTTAGAGTAATCTTGGTTGTAGGTCCTTGCTTTTCATCACTTTAAAATTTTCTGGCCACTCTCTCTTAGCCTGCAAAGTTTCTTTTGAGAAATCAGCTGACAGTTTTGTGGGAGCTCCTTTGTAGGTAATGAACTGTTTTTCTCTTGCTGCTTTTAAGATTCTCTCTTTGTCTTTAACCTTTGGCATTTTGATGATGATGTGTCTTGGTGTGCACCTCTTTGGGTTCATCTTGTTTTGGACTCTCTCTGCTACCTGGACTTGTATGTCTGTTTCCTTCACCAACTTAGGGAAGTTTTCTGTCATTATTTTTTCAAATAGGTTTTTAATTTCTTGCCCTCTCTCTTCTTATGGCACTCGCATGATGCAAATGTTGGTACGCTTGAAGTTGTCCCACAGGCTCCTTATACTACCCTCATATTTTTGGATTCTTTTTTCTCTTTGCTATTCTGATTGGGCATATTTTGCTTCCTTATATTCCAAATCGATGGTTTGCTTCTTGGCTTCACCTACTCTACTATTGATTCCCTATAAATTATTTTTTATTTTAGTTAGTGCATCCTTTATTTCTGACTGGTCTTTTATCATGCTCTTGAGGACTTCATTAAGTTCATTGAGCATCCTTATAAGCAGTATTTTGAATTCTGCATCTGTTAGATTGCTTATCCCCATTTCATTTAGTTATTTTCCTGGAGTTTTGTTCTGTTCTTTCATTTGGGACATGTTCCTTTGTCCCCTCATTTTGGCTGCCTCCTGTGTTTGTTTCTATGTATTAGGTAGAGTTGCTATGTCTCCTAGGCTTCCTAGTCAGGCCTCTTGCAGTAGGTGTCCTGTAGGGTCCAGTGGCACAGCCTCCCTGATCACCTCACTGGGCCCACAAGGTACACCCTTTGTGTGGACTTTATACCCTTATGTTGTAATTCAGTCTTGATTGCTGTTGGCACATCAATGGGAGGGTTTTACTCAGGCTGATAAGTTGTAAGGACTGGCTGTGCCCACTAATCACTGACCTCTCACTACCTTGGATAATTCACTGTGCAGGGGCCCACCACACAGAGCAAGACTTATTTCAGCAGT